CCCCCACAGAGCTGATTGCAGTACTCCAGCCTTGAGGTTACCAATGCATGGACAGGAATGGTCAGGCTATCCCTGTCCAGGAACAGCCGTACCTAATGAAGCAGATATGGCTGATGAAAGGCACTCCTAGCCATAGAGGACATTAGGGCTTCTAGTGACAAAGATGGATCCAGGAGTACCCCTGAGCTATGCACTTGCTCCTTCAGAGGGACTGCAGCCCCATGCAGAAGAGGTAATTTTCCAGTTTCCCAAACATGGGAACCACCCATCCAAAGAGCCTCCATCTTCCCAGGATCAAAACGAGGTTTATTAGCCTTCACCCAGCCCACTACTGCATTCAGACGCTGATCCCAAGTTTTCACAGTCTCTCTTTTGTCAGGAGAAGCCAGGGAGCTTTGCCTTATGGCTCTCCGCCTCTTGTGTGGTTTGCTAAGGACATGGCACTTTTGATCAGCAGCTGTTAAGCTGGTGAGGGAGCAAGTGACGTTCTTTTCAAGGACCCACTTTGGATGCGTGTTCCTCTCCCACCCGCATTTCAGTTCCACTTTGTGGCAAGATTTTTCTGCTGAGCGGCTTCCCAGTTCAGAGGCACTTTGCATTCAGGCATTGGCTGTTCAAGGCAGATGGAGGCAGAGCCATTGCAATTACGGACAAGATTGACTATTAGGATGAAGCCCCCCCTGGAGCAGTTGAACTGCATTCAGCACATTACATCAAATGAACAGTCATTAACATAGGTTGTAAACAATTTACGTGGTGGTATTGCTGCTATTTTGTCAAATTCCCTCCAAGTTCAAAACTGAATTTCTGCAACTTAGCATGCGAGTCTTTAATTTTTAAAATGGGGTGGTGGAGGTGATATGTTTCTTTAAAAAAACTAACTCAGGGGTAGGGTACTGTTGTCCATCCAAGGGCCACATTCCCTTCTGGGCATCCTTTTGAGGGCCACAGGCCAGAGGTGGGTGGAGCAAGTGGCAAAAATAGGTGGAGCAACAAATGTACATTTTCCACTTCTAATAGAATACAACACATTAGAAATACATAATGTTTCTCTGCAGAGTATCAGATATGGTTTAGGCCTGCGTGCTACAGCTTCTATCACCACTGCTGCCTTTATGGATGCTGGCTTGATCACTGAAGAAGTCAAGAGATTTGAGGATCACAATAAAGTCAAGAGGACCCAAGAAAAAGTTATGAAATCCCTGGATCAGGAATCTGATGGTCTTTGTCAGAAGGGTGAAATAGACTGCATCTTCTTTGGCAGCTGTGAAGATACAACTAAATTTATGCTGAAAGCAGACAGTTCAGATCAGCAGTCCCCTAGCATCATCACAGAAGAGCATTATTCTGTGCGCAGTGAGCCAGGTGGAAAACATCTCAACCACTTCACTTTGGAGAAAGGCTCAAAGAGAGAGAGAACAGCTGACGTTATTGCTAACTATCTAGTAGATTTATTGAAGAAGGGCCTTGATAAGAGCCTGCAGGCCATTGGAGGTGACTCTGCAAATGTTCACACTGGCTGAAAAGGTGGTACCATGCATTGGGTAGAGGGCAAGCTTGGTTGTAAGCTGGTCTGGTTGGTTTGTGCCCTCCATACCAACAAGTTACCCCTGTGACATTTGATCACAGCACTCAATGGGAAGACCTTGTCTAGCAGAAAAATGGAAAGGTAACATTGGCAAGATGCTAGACACTGTTGCAGAACATGAAATTGATCCTTCATTCACCAGACTCTCAATTGGAGTGCCTCTTCACTGAGTGGCAATGCCGTAAAGGATCTGTCTACTGATAAAGTGTAAAGGTGTTGGATCACACAGGCCATAAGGACAGGAAAACCTCCCATTAGTCTGGCCCATCTTGAAATGAGCCATTCAAGGTGGCTAACAGGCTTTGTTCCATATGGGTTTCAAACATCTTCGTACACATGTTATTTGTATGTAATCGCTATCTATCTACAGTTGTACCTCGGGTTAAGTACTTAATTCATTCCGGAGGTCCGTTGTTAACCTGAAACTGTTCTTAACCTGAAGCACTATTTTAGCTAATGGGGCCTCCTGCTGCCGCCACACCGCCGGAGCACGATTTCTGTTCTCATCCTGAAGCAAAGTTCTTAACCTGAAGCACTATTTCTGGATTAGCAGAGTCTGTAACCTGAAGCATATGTAACCTGAAGCGTATGTAACCCGAGGTACCACTGTATCTATCTATCTATCTATCTATCTATCTATCTATCTATCTATCTGAAATGCAATTTCTCACAATATAATGCATTCTTTATGTTGTTTTTAAACTAATGCATGTATTTTATGCATACTTTAATCTAGTATATGCATTCTTGTGCACATAATTCAGCTGGACTGCACTGCAAAATTTGGAAAAGCGTGAATTTTTAAGGATGCCTGCATCTTGATTCTTGCATTATTTCAGAAGGTGTGAATTAAGCAAACTGAACTTTATATTTCCCCTCATCCCCGTCTTCTGTGCAGTTGCTGAAATCTGTCTTAGTGCTGTGGGGTGTGGCTAGCAGAAGCATGATTCTGCTTCACTGAATGCATGTGGGGTTGCCTGAACAGCAGTAAAGGCTTAGGCACTATACATTTAAAACAATACCATACCACTTTAAACATTCTTTGGCTTTCCCCAAAGAATCCTGGGAACCGCAAGTTGTTAAGGATTCTGAGAGTTGTTCTCCTTGCAGAACTACAATCCCCCAGAGTGGTTTAGCAGCCGGTCCCTGTTCCTAGGGGACTCTAGCTCAGATTTTTGAGAGGGGAACAGGGGCTTATTATTAATGCATTTTCAACAATTCTCCCCCCTCCCCAGTCCTTGTCTCTGAAGAAAAGGCCGCCACAGCTGTCATTGTCACCTGCTTGGCAGCCGTCCAGCACTTTGAAGGCGGGAGGAGCAAAACTGCTTGTACAGTTTTAATGAAGAAGTAACATTCTTGCTTATCAGCTACTTAATTCCGTGGGTTAATGAATGGCGGTGGTGATAATTGCACCTGTTTTTAATTATAGGCAGAAGCTGCTTCATAAATATTTAAATGTGGGCTGTCTTTTGTTTTTTTAAACCTCTAAAGCCCTCCCCCTCCCAGCCCTGCATAGTTTAACAGCCAATCCCTCTTCCCAGGAGACTGAGGGAATTGTAGCTCTGGAAACCCCTTAACTAACTACATCTCCCAAAATTTTTTTTTCTGGGGGAATCCATGAAAGTTTATTATTATAATTTTTATTTATGATTTTCAATGTTATACATTTCAATAATTTTTCAATCATTTTAATATTTCGAAACTTGACTTCCTTCCCCCTCTTTCTGTGTTTCCTTAAATTCATATTATCTGCACATTCCAAATTAACTTAACTTAATCATTTATTCATCTACTTCAAATGTATACTCTTATTAAAAAAACCTGCAGGTTATTACAAGAATCCTGCCAACATTCTTATCTGTTTACAATTTGTCTGTAAAAATTCAACAAACCATTTCCATTCTTTTATAGAAAGTTGGTTATCTTGATTTCTTATTTTTCCAGTGTCCCTGATGGTTTAAAGTGGTACAGTGGTACCTCAGGTTACAGAAGTTTCAGCTTACAGACGCTTCAGGTTACAGACTCCGCTAATTCAGAAATAGTGCCTCGGGTTAGGATGACAACAGAAATCGCACTGTGGTGGTGCAGCGGCAGTGGGAGGCCCCATTAGCTAAAGTGGTACCTCAGGTTAAGAACAGTTTCAGGTTAAGAATGGACCTCCAGAACGAATTAAGTTCTTAACCCAAGGTACCGCTGTATAATGCTTTAAACATTTAGTGCCAGAGGTGCTAAGTTGAGCAGAAGATTGGGGGTGGCCGATGACGTGCGCATGATATGTGCATGACTTTGGAACGCTGGGAGGAGCCAGGGGGCGGAGCAAAATGCAGTGGCAGCGTGGCTTCAATGGCTGGCAGCTCCTCCTCCCTGACACTCAACAACCTCCTCCTCTTCCTTCCACTGCCGCCAGCTGGGAGCTGCTTTCCCCCTCCTTCCCCTCCGTGGTAGGAAGAGGAGCAGCAGTTGCCAGCCACTGGAGCTGTGCCGCACTGGGCTCCATGCTCATGCAACTGATTGTTCTCAACATGGTCCTTCCCAAATACTTTATTTGGGGGAGGGGGCAAAGGAACTGGGCTCCTTGGAGTTGGCACCTATGTATAGTGTAGATGGGGACAAAGTGTGGCACGTTAGGAGAGGGAGTGTGGTGACAGTGATTGTCAGAAGCTGGCTCATATCAGGTCAGTCCCCCACATAGAGCTACAATTCAATCCCTTTGGGAGGAAACTCTGAGACGTGTAGCTCTGAAAGAGGAGTAGGGGTCTCCTAAGAACTCGTATCACCCTTAGAATAAAAGAATCTCTTCCCCCCCCATGCTTATTTCCATGCTTAATACATACAAAAAAAGGGGAGCAATACTGAAAAGGGGGTACAACTTAAGAGGGGAGGGAAAAGGAAAGAAAATAAAATTTACACAATCTGTTAAGATAAAAATTATGACAAAAAATTGTGATTACAATTTCATGTTACAATAAAAGTAAAAAAATCTCATTATCTTTTATACCTGACTTCCCATTTATTCCTTAATTCTTTTTACATAAATTTACTGCCTTATCAAAATCCTATTTTTTATGTCAATATTTTCACAATTTATAAAAATTTATATTCATATAAGCAATTACTAAAAACTGCTGGGGTCACTTAAAAGCTGCTACAGATTTTAACATGGTATAATTTTGTTTAAGATATGTTCTGAAGGCCTCCCGTTTTGATACAAATTCAATTCTTAGTTTATTTTTTATTTTTTCAGATAGACTATCTAATTCAGCAGATTCAGTCAATTTTTGTATCCACTCTTGTCTAGAAGGAATTATGTCGCTCTTCCACCTTGTAGCGGTGGAAGAATAAAATAATCTCATAGAGTTGGAAGGGACCACAAGAGTCACCGAGTCCAACCCCCTGCAGTGTAGGAGCCTTTTGCCTAACATGGGACTCGAACCCATAACCCTGTGATTAAGAGTCTCATGCTCTGTCATCTGAGCCATGAGCCCTCAATGAACTCCGGTTCCCAGGGGGAAGCTTATAGGGGACGTGAGAGAAGCTTATAAAATCATGCATGGCACAGTCACAGCGGACAGGGGAAAGTTTTTCTCCCTCTTTCATAACACTAGAACTCATGGACATCTAATGAAGCTGGAAGTTGGAAGATTCAGGGCAGATAAAAGAGAATCCTTCTTCATGCAGCACATAGTTAAAACTATAGATCTAGCTCCCACAGGAGGCAGTGATGGTCACCAGCCTATATGGCTTAATAGAGGATTTGACAAATTCATGGAGGAGAAAGCGATTGATGGCTTCTAGCCCTGATGGCTCTACAGTTGGAGGCAGCCATGCTTCTGAATACCAGTTGGAGAGGAGAGTGCTCTTGTGGTCAAATCCTGCTTGTGGCCGGCCGCTAAGAGAACAGGACGCTGGACTAGATGGGCCACTGGCCCCATCCAGAAGACTCTACTTTGTTCTTATGTCCAAGCTGTGACTGTTAAGGTGGCAAACACCACTTTACATGTATAGGGAAGATGGGGTATCTAAGTCGCTGGATGCCACTCTATTCAGAACACTATCCATGGCTAATGTTCTTATTCTGTCCTTGTAAGGTTGCTATCACCTCTGGGCTGAGAGAAACCAGGATGCAGTTGCAGTAAAGAATGGTCCCTCCACCCAGCCAGCCATTCTGTAGGCAGCATGTGAGCAGCTTACCATCCCGGCGACTTCGGGCCTTTTAAAAAAAATCTCACTTGAGGAGTGACTCATGGAAAGAGACAGGGGAGATATTTTGCTTTCGCACCAGCACTGTGATGAACCTCCCTCCCTTCCCATTTGCTCTGAACAATGTGTTATTTTGGAAACACTTGGATTCCCCCCCCCCATGTTGCGAAGAAGCGGGTCATTGTTGGGGGTAATTAGGCATTATGTACTACATAATTGCACAGATTGCAAAAAAAGCGGCTTGTCCTTTTTTGCTGGGGGAGCAAAGAGAAAACGTTTAAATACATGATTACCACGAAACCCGTAACAGAAAAGCATTTTGAAAAGCTAATTTAAAGCGCCATTTAATTTCGCAATTGTGGCTTGATAACAACAGCTATCTTGGAACTGGGAAAACAAAAACAATGGCTAGCTAACACTCCTCACCAACCACGACCCATTATTCAGGTGGGATTGTTTGTTTTTTCTCATTGGAAGCTTAGTGCCTTGCTAGAGATGTTAGTCAACATACTAACAGATGTTAACTTCTTTTTTTCTTCTTCTTCCAAGAAAGTGGACAGCTTAGGCATTGATGGGCCAAGTGGTGATTGGGTGGGTGCAATGGAATACCAGGAGGTGATAGGAGATGCAATGAAGTATCTTGGGAAAGGTTGTGGCTGGCTTGCTTGAATGCGGAACAGACTCCATGTGTGCACACTCCATGCAGTAACATTTTGTTGAAGGTCCCACTTGCAGGATCCTATTACAGATTGATGAAAGGTTGTTGTTCTTTGGGTGGGGGTAGGGTTGCCATATGTCCTGTCCCCCTAGAAAATGGCCTCTTTCTCATGGGTATGTAAAATGAGAGTCACCATAGCAATCCATAGTTAAAATTAGAAGTTGCCAAATGTGTCCTCTTTTTTGCTCTTCACAATATGGCAACCCTAGAATAGGGCTTAAATGTTTGATATAAATAAAATCCACTTTCGCTATCAAACTCTTGTCCCCAACTGAAACAAAGCCATTTGTAGCTATATTTCCATGCCCTCAGTCTCTTTACCTTCCCCACCATCTCTCTCTTTTCTCTCTCCCTCTCTCCTCCCCACACTCCTTTCCTCTTTCTGCCTCTCCCTAGCAAAACTTTGTAAAATTGCAACAAAAAATGCGGGTCTTGCTTCTGTTGCTTTGTGCAGAGTGCTGTGATTGTACTAATAAAGTATTGTAAAAGAAAAAGCATTCGGATGTCAGCAATTGCAGATGCAATTTGTTCTTTTGTAGCAATTAATGCAAGGCACCAGGCATGCGGAAGGTCATTTCTGTGCTAATTTTGCCTACAAGTTGATGGAAACTACACACAACCCCTCTTCCACAGCCTTGGCGTAAAATATGAATCTCTCTGCAAAGGACAGGTGTACTTGCAAGATCATTCATGACAGGCTTGTCTGCAGTGTCTCTTTTTCAAGGTTTGAAAAAGTTCATCGTTTGAGACTTCAAAGAACCCTTCCATTCCCAAGTTATAAATACGAACTCCCAACGCTTCATAACTTATTTCACCTCTTGTTGAAGAGAGGTGTCATGCTGGAGATGAGAAGGCTGTTTTCCTCACCAACACATTTGCAGTGCTCTCTAATAAGCACAAGACTGCTGTGAATTATTTTCTGTTTGCACAATTGATCCTTGAGAGCATGGGATTGAATATTGTGTTTGGTATAGCTCGCATCTTGCGAATCTTAGCTCTCGTGTCAAAACAAGGCACGCTTCTAGTCCATCTGGCAGTGCAAAGATGCAGCAGTCCTTCTCTTATGTGGGAGAAATGAAATGGATGCTCTTAGGGAGCAGGACTAAACCTGATCCATCTCCTTGGCCTGCAGTAAAAGCAACCCACAGCCTCATTGTATTATTGGACACAGTCTCACGAGAGGCAGTGATGGCCACCAACCTGGATGACTTCAAAAATGGACCTATTGAAATGAATGACTCTGACTCATTTTGGTCCGTTCATTTCAATGGGCCTACTCTGAGTAGGAACAGTGTTGCACACAGTCCTTTACTCTTCTTTGCTGCCACAGACTCAGCGCAGCCATCCCTCTGGAGGTTTTCGGGGACAGGAGTGGTGAGTGGGTTACGCCTTTGCCATCAACATTGCCTCTTTACCCTGTACAGTAGCTAGTGGGAGCCACTGGGATCCAAGCCCCCTCCTATCTACATAGATCCACCGTTCATCTGCAAAAATCCCACCTCGGCTTCTGTTTACTGGTGATGCCAGGAGTCAGCCTTTTCAAATACGAAAAGTGATTGCGGGACCTTATGCCACAATTCTGAGCTCATCTCTCCAACATGTTGTACAATGAGGAAGGCTGGCTGTGCAAATGAGTTAATCGTGTGCGATGGCCCAGGCCCATTGTAAGCGCTGGAGCAGCCCGGCTCTGCAACATCTCCTCCCTTTTCTCTCTAATGTGGGCTTGATTAATTTGAATTGCGCCAGGCAGCTCCTTTTAATTAAAAATAAACGGATCACATCTGAGCACTGAGAGCTGGCTTCGGGATGGATGGAAATGCTCTAGCCATTCAGATTATATGCGGGCTGCTCCTGTCATTCTGATGTCTGCAGTGCATGGAAGGAGGCATTCTGCTGTGCTCAGGGCCTGCTTGTGTGCTGCCCATGTAGGGGTCTGCTTGGCCACGATGACAACAGGATGCTGGACTAGATGAGCCACTGATCTGAACAAGCAGGGCTCACCTCATGTCCTTAAGGAGAAGGAAGAGGGGACAGCCATTCCAATGGGCTATCCGTCCTGAAGACATATGTAATCATATGAATACTTTGATTTCCCTGGGCATGGTCATCACTTTTGTGCTTCTTCTTTCTGGAATTTGGTCTGGAAACAAAAACAAAACAACATTGGGGGATATCTGGAAACCACAGGAGTGGAGAATGTTCTTGTGCTCAAATTCTGCTTTCCAGTTTCCCACAGGCCTCTGGTTGGCCACTGGGAGAACTGGATGCTGGACTAGGTGGGCCATTGGCCTGATCCAACAAGCTGTTCTTATGAAATGAGGCTGCATTTTAATGTTGTATTTTAATCTTGTTTTTAAGTTGTATTTCAATCAATTGTTTTTATACCTGGTGTTAGCCTCCCTGAGCCCGGTCTTGGCTGGGGAGGGTGTGGTATAAATAAAATTATAATTATAATTATTAGGTTTGTTGCCACCCGCTTTTTCACGTGCGAGGGGTGTGCTTCTCTTTTGTTGCTGCCATGGACAAGGGGTGGGAGTCTGGGAGGGTCTTGCTGTGGATGCTTGAGGGCAATGATTCATACCGCTCAGGTAAAGAGCGTGGATGGCTTGCAGAGGTTTGGTTTGTTGCTGCACGACGTCCTGCTTATGGGTTTTCCATTGGAGCATCGGGTTGGCCACAATGAGAACAGGATGAACCCAGAATGTTGTCAGAAAAGAATGTTCGAAATCTGGAGCAGGAGATAAGCACATAAGATGAGCCTGCTAGGTGTGGCCAATGGCCTGTCTAGTCCAGCATCCTGTCCTCACAGTGCCCAACCGGATGCCCCGGTGAGAAACCTGCAAGCGGGACTAGAGCACCAGAGCTCTCTCCCTTCCTATGGTTTCCAGCAAATGACATTCAGGAGCATTAGTCCAGGGGTCAGCAACCTTTTTCAGATGTGGGCCAGTCCACCGTCCCTCAGACCTTGTGGGGGGCTAAACTATTTTTTTTGGGGGGGGGGAATGAACGAATTCCTATGCCCCACAAATAACCCAGAGATGCATTTTAAATAAAAGGACACATTCTTTTATACAAACAAGGAAATCAATATGGACGCCCTTAAAAAGGACCAGACTTCCTATAATTTGAACCCTACACAAGAACCAAACCCAGCGGCCTGTCGGCCATGTTACCTTCAGACAATGGCTGAGATTAATTTACTCCCAATCAAGGAAGCCCAGCACACTGAAGAGAACACTACACCACCTCCAATAAAGAGAACCATCCCGAAGGTGAATTCACCAGGCTCTTGGGACAAGCTGAGGTATCTAGATGAGGCGGAATTAGGCCACAATCAGGTTCCGGAAAACACCTACGGAAAGAGATAACACACTTCAAAGGCCCGGTGACCACTAATGTCAGTATTCAACAGTTAACAGCCGAAACTATAGAACATTTGGCTAGTTTGCCATGTATGGAGAGCAATGGGCCGGCTCATAAAAAAGTAATCCCTAAAAGCACCTTGGGAAATAATTGACAAAGGTTAGACCAGAGACAAACACCAGCCGGCTCCCTATCTCCGCGGAAATCCGATATCATTAGATACGAACAGACTCAACCCTCACTCACAAATCAAGCAAAAGCAGTTGTTTCCTTGAAAGACGCACCCAACCTACCCCAGAGCCTTAAAATTGTCTCCTGGAATGTTAACGGCTGGGCGACAAAGCAAATGGATCCTGAAGCAATGAATCTCATCTCTTCTTTCGACATTGTATGCCTCCAAGAGACCTGGTCCCAACAAAGTATTGTTCTCCCAAATTATTGCTCCTTTAGCTCCTGTGCTCGTAAACTAACCAACAGGGGTCGCCCCCAAGTTGGCCTCGCCTGTCTTATTTCAACCAGCTTACCCCTCACTATTTGCGAGGAAATTAAATCTTCCCCTTACTTTCTCACCATAAAGATTCATCTCCCAAAGACCAAAAGCCCATGGTTGATAACTACAGTATATCTGCCCCCAGCAATTAATGATTTCGACCGCAATGAAAGGTGGTCTGAACTTTCGTCTTGGCTCCATGATCTCCAAACAACTAACCCAGGACTCCCTCAAATCCTCTTAGGCGACTTTAATGCAAGAATAGGTCCCAACGACGATGATATAATATCTCCCGCAGCACTCCTGGACAATCCCCTGCAGCCCCCCTGGGGAAACAGATGCTCTCTTGATCCTATAACAAATGCGTCGGGAGGCTGATGGCCCAACTGGCCATGGAAAACGATCTCTGCATCGCAAATGGTAACATTACTCCCTTGTCCTCGCAGCAATTAACGTGCATCACTTCCCGGGAACCAGTGTTGTCGACTACATTTTATTGACGCCGGAGCTATTCTCAATTTCTACAAAAATGGAAGTGGCTGAATATTTTGGTGGTGACCACCTTCCATTGACTCTAATGTTAAACCTAATAGAGCCACTCCCAGTCTCCTCAAACTATAGAACCATGGTACAAAGCCACCCTGTATACAAAACAAAGAAATGGACAAGCCTCAGCTCCTCTCTTGCCCTGGACATACAAAAATCATTTGATATGTCTGCAGTTCCCTCTGATCCAATCCTGCCCGCTGACCAATACCGGAAATTACTTGATGCTTTCTCAACAACTTACATAACCACCACCTCGCCTACTTACCAACGCCTCTTCTCTGAATCGCCCTGGTTTGACAAGGAATGTAAAGCCCTAAGAAGGCGAATTAGGAAAATGGTCAGAATCATCAAATCTTCCAACGACCCCCAAACCCGTGCAAAGCTCATAGATATTAAAAGGACATATAGAAACATGATTCATTGCAAGAAACAGCAGTACATCTTTGAGGCTTGGTCCACTCTTCGTTCGGCTGTAGAGAGGCATGACTCCCGCTCCTTCTGGCGCCTAGTTAGACCTTCGGCACCATTCAATCCAGCTACCCAGATTTCCGCGGATGAATGGATTGCTTATTATTCAACTAGTTTCGCTTCTCCAAACCATCTTACAGATCTCCTTCAATCCCCATTGGACCTCAGTTCCTGCTCTCTTAGTCCCACTTCTTCAATAAACTTTACTTCAACTCGCATTTTCAACATCATAATGTCAATGCAAAGGAATAAGGCCCCCGGCCCAGACATGGTCCCGTTGGACCTTTTCCTGACTGATCCTCTTTGGTGGAGCGAACACCTGACTCCTGTATTCACCGCTATCTCCTCCGCCCTAGACATCCCCGACTCCTGGAGAGAAGCTATAATAGTTCCGATCTTCAAAGGCGGCCAGCCAAACATCCCTAGGAACTATCGCCCCATCAGCTTATTATCCATCCCGGGAAAATATTTGCCGCTGTTTTACTGGAGGAACTTCTCTCATGGGTCCAGGAGAGGAACATTCTACCGCTAGAACAGATTGGTTTCCGAAAGTCAGCGTCAACCATGGACCATTGTCTAACTCTCTTTCACCTTGCCAGTAAATACACTGCTCCAAGGCAAGGCCACCTATTTGCCGCTTTCATGGACCTGGAGGCCGCCTTTGATTCCATTCCTAGGCAGAGATTATGGTCCAAACTTGCCCATCTGGGAATTGATCCGCACCTTCTCTCCCTAATTATCTCCCTTTATTCAAACACCACAGCTCGCGTCCGAACTAGTCCAAACGGCTCCCCCACTACTCCATTTCCAACGGCCAAGGGCGTCCGACAAGGTTGCCTCTTGGCCCCTTTACTGTTTAATCTCTATCTTCATGATGCAATTTCCACTTTGAAGCTAGCATCTAAGTATCCTCCTCACTTAGCAGGCCACCCCGTTGCTTCCCTTTTCTATGCTGATGATGCCGTCATCTTATCCAGAACAGCTGCGGATCTAGCAAATGCAGTTAATGCATTTATCGCCTATTGTAAGGCGGAAGCTCTTAATATTAATTATAAAAATCGAAAGTCCACCACTTCACTCGTTCCCGCAAACTCAAGTTGGAGCCGCTTAAGATCACAGGTGGCTACTTAGAAAAGGTAAAAGCCTTTAAATATCTAGGATTAATATTCACCTATAATCTCTCCTGGACCACCCATCTACAATCTGCCTTTCTCGCTGCAACCACGACCTCTAACGCCATTGTCCGATTTTACCACCAGAAGGGCGGCAAACACCTTCCAGCAGCAATTCAAATATTTAATGCCAAAGTCGTCCCTAAATTATTATATGGATGTGAAGTATGGACTACAGCAATATCAGGTAACCTGGATCGTCCACTTCATATGTTTCTGAGATCTCTTTCCGGCGTCCCGAGATGTGTCTCAGGTGCAGCCCTACGACTCGAGTTCGCCCAGCCTTCAATTGCTAGACGAGCATGGAGCCGAGCCATTTCCTACACCCTCCACCTATTAGCATCGGATGCTCGAATTAGAGGTGGCTTTTCCAATCTGATCCTAAGAGATATTCATAATTCCCCTTGGAAAACTACAATTAACCTCAAATTCCGCTCTCTTCTCAATTTGAATTGTAAAACTGTTCTTAACTTAGAGTGTATCAGCCCGGTGGCCCTACCCCTAATTAAAAAGAAACTACAGCAACTTGACTTCTCCAACACAGCTTCTTGTGCAAGAGGACCGTGTTCAGGCCTAGCCCTAGCTATTCCACCCCTGAAGGGATCCCTCTATACTGCTTCACAATTTCTTCGGAGACTAAGCGAAGGGCTTTTACCTGTGCCCGTCTCAACTGTTTTCCTACAGCAGTTCTGTCGGGTCGTTATTCCAGAGTTCCCATCGCAAACAGAACATGCTCCTGTAATGACACGGCCCTGGAGACTATGGAACATGTAATGCTCTTCTGTCCCAACTGGACAGATGAAAGATCTCGGTTTTTAACTCCCCTCGTGAATAAGTTCCATCTCCCAATCCAGCCTTGGATAGTGTCCCTCTTTTGCAGGATTCTGATTGTTGGATTACTGAGATGACAGCTAACTTCCTGCTTAGTGTGATGAAGAGGAAAGCGGCACTAACTTCTTCCTTAACACCACAGATGCAGTCGATACGCCGCACAACCGAACGAAGTTCCAAGTAGCCTTATTGTACAAGGACAATCGAGTTAGGACTAATCTGAGGAGCTGAAGGACCCTTTAACGGTCCTCCTCCAGCCTCAGCAGCTTTTTTTTTTTTTTTTTTTTTCACTTTCTTTAAGTATTCGCCCAGGACGATGTCTACCTCTACCTCCCCACCCCCATTTTATGTTGTTATTTCAATGTATATCATGCTATGGCCACTCGGCTAATGCAATAAATAAATCTAGTGCTTCAGACACATTCTACTCATGTAAAAACATGCTGATTCCCCGACCGTCCATGGGCCAGATTGAGAAGGCTATTGGGCCACATCCAGCCCACGGGCCTTAGGTTGCCTACCCCTGCATTAGTGCCTCCAACCCTGGAGACAGAGCATAGCCATTACTGGTAGTAACTGTGGGTAGCCAGAATGAGAAACGAAACAGAGTATCCTGTAATAAGGCATGGCCTGCATAAGAAAGCTCCTATTAAGGAGAGAGGTTTTGTTGCAAAATTTTGTTGCAGGTCCCACTTGCATCCTACTAATTCTCTTTCTTTCTTTCTTTCTTTCTTTCTTTCTTTCTTTCTTTCTTTACATTTACTCATTCGGTTTCTTAACCCTTTGGACCGTTTCTTGAATATACCTGGAATCATGGTACAAATTCACTGATTATTATTTTTGCAGTTCTCATTTCCTGCACCTGAATCATTTGTGTCCTGCCTTTAATATTGGGGGATCCTCTATTCTTATTTCCCTGTATCATGACCATCAAATTTTTGAGAGCAGACTCCTGCTTTGTTCCAGGCACTTCAGTGAACTGTATCTCCCATTCCACCCGTCAGCTTCATTGGCTTCTTACTCTCCTTCACAGCAGAGTACAGCTGAAGGACAGAGTAATGCTCCACTTGGCATCTGAAATGCACATCCTCCATCACTGCTGTTATGCTGTTGTTCCTGTTCCCTGGCCATATTTCCATTCAGCAGCCCAAACTGTGTTCTCTCTCGTATGCCCTGCAGCAGGGTGGGGGGAACTGTTCTAGCCCGATGGCCACATTCCCTTCTGGGCAGCTTGTTGGGGGCCACATGTCAGTGGTGGGAGGGGCCAGAAGGAGAAGTGGACAGAGCAATAAATGTTATTTTTGCCCTGGTCCACTAGGCGAGTTTTTTCACATGTGGCAGCCCTTTAGATATTTGAAAATGCCTATCATATAGAGTTATATGATATCTCTATATGATATCAGTCTCAGTCTCCTCTTTTCCAGGCTAAACATACTTAACGCCCTCAGCCATTCCTCCCAAGACCCCTTATCATCTTGGTCACCCTCCTCTGCACATGTTCCAGCTTGTCAATATCCTTCTTAAACTGTGGTGCCCAGAACTGGACACAGTGCTCTTAAGTGTGGTTTGATCAAGGCAGAATAGAGTAACCAGTGTGGTGTAGTGGTTAAGAGCAGTAGACTCGTAATCTGGTGAACCGGGTTCGCGGCTCCGCTCCTCCACATGCAGCTTCTGGGTGACCTTGGGCTAGTTACACTTCTCTGAAGTCTCTCAGCCCCTCTCACCTCACAGAGTGTTTGTTGTGGGGGAGGAAGGGAAAGTAGATTGTTAGCTGCTTTGAGACTAATTTGGGTAGTGATAAAGTGGGATAGGAAGGACAGATCGTGAAGCTGAGGCTCCAATACTTTGAGAAGAGTAGACTCCCTAGAAAAGACCCTGATGTTGGGAAAGATGGAGGGCACAAGGAGAAGGGGATGACAGAGGACGAGATGGTTGGACAGTGTTCTCGAAGCTACCAGCATGAGTTTGATTGACCAAACTGTGGGAGGCAGTGGAAGACAGAAGTGCCTGGCGTGCTCTGGTCCATGGGGTCACGAAGAGTCGGACACGACTAAACGACTAAACAACAACAAAAGCGGGCTATCAAATCCAAACTCTTCTTCTTCTTCTTTCCTTGATCTGGACATCATACTTTTGATGCAGCCTAGACTAGCATTAGCTTTTTTTGGCTGCTGCATCACACTGTTGACTCATGCTAAGCTTGTGGTCTACTAAGGCCCTTAGGTCCTTTTCACATGTACTATTGGCAAGCCAAGTATCCCCGTCTTATTTTGGTACAATTAATTCTGCCTGCCTAAGTGTAGAATCTTACATTTGTCCCTATTGAAATTAATTTTGTTTGTTGTGGCCCAGTTCTCCAATCCATTAAAGTCATCTTGAATTCTAATGCTGTCTTCTGCGGCATTAGCTACCTCTCCCAGTTTGGTGTCATCTGAAAATTGGACGAGCATCCCCTCAATTTCTTAATCCAAATCATATATAAAGACGCTGAACAACAGATACACTCAAGGTGCTAAACGCTTTGGTATAAGAAGCTTAGAAGTCAGCTCTGCATTTCATTGTCACAATAGGGAATTGCAGTATCTTTTATCCAGCAATATTGAAATGATTGCTGCTTTCCTGATGCTATTGGTGCACCACTGATATTAAACAGAATGCAGTGCCGTACTATAAGGTGCTCAGCTCTGTTTTCCTCTTTTTGAAGTGCTGATTGTTACTATTACATTACTGGTATGAAACTTTTGCTTTCTGCCAGCAGTCTGCTCTGTTCCTCCTACACCATCCCAAGCTGCTTTTCAGACTGAGCAGTTTGAAGGCACCCGTGGTAAAACTAAAAACTCCTAGGTGTTTCTGAATGGAAATGCATATTTACCTAGACGGCTACCTTTATTGATGGGCAGCCCAAGGTATTTTGCTGCTTGAAGTAAATGACAAAATGGCACACATACCTCAAGACACACTGGTTAGAAATTGAGCAGGCATTGTCCACACATCTGCTGTGGGTTCCCTGGTTATGGAGTTCTTTGCATCTAGCCGGTGACTGGACTAGATGGTGTAAGTAAGGCCCACACCAGTACGATAATTCTATGTGCTGACTTAGGGAGGAGCTTGAATCCCCCCCCCTCTATTTCCCCCTCTTTTGATTCATTCCGTACTGGCTGCAAATCTGCTACTGAGCTAAGTTAAAGGTGTAGGTGTTACTAACATGTAAGTCCATATACAGCTCAGGACCAGGTTACCTTATATACCTAGCAGATTGCTGTGTTCAGGGGGAGAGTATCTCCTGCAAGTTCCAGAGATCCCAGGAGCCCGGTCTACAGTGACCCCTAGCAGGGCTTTTAGTGTGTCTGCCCCTGTTCTGCATATGTACTGCAGCAATTGAAGCATTAAAGCCTTTTGGGAAGAAATCTTCCTCCACTCTCAGTTCTTCCGCAACTGGGGGCCAGGACAGGCACTGGTGATGTGAAAAAGAGGGACAGGAAGGAGTTAAAGCATGGGTAGGCAAACTAAGGCCCGGGGGCCAGATCCAGCCCAATAGCCTTCTAAATCCGGCCTGCGGACGGTCCGGGAATCAGTGTAGAATGAGTAGAATGTGTCTTTTTATTTAAAATGCATCTCTGAGTTATTTGTGGGGCATAGGAATTTGCCCCCCCCCCAAAAAAAAATATATATACAGTGGTACCTCGGGTTAAGTACTTAATTTGTTTTGGAGGTCTGTTCTTAACCTGAAACTGTTCTTAACCTGAAGCATCACTTTAGCTAATGGGTCCTCCTGCTGCTGCTGTGCCGCCGCTGCACGATTTCTGTTCTCATCCTGAAGCAAAGTTCTTAACCTGAAGCACTATTTCTGGGTTAGCAGAGTCTGTAACCTGAAGCGTATGTAACCTGAAGCGTATGTAACCTGAGGTACCACTGTAGTTCAGCCCCCCACAAGGTCTGAGGGACAGTGGACCGGCTCCCTGCTGAAAAAGTTTGCTGACCCCTGAGTTAAAGTCTCGGCTCAAAGAAGCTCAGAGGGTCTTCATTTATTGGTTTGCAGGCTGCCTATTGAGGAACAGGGAGCAAAATGCCCCCTTTCTATCCTGAAATATTTGGAGAGTGATTGCAGCCAAGCCTATTTCTGCTTCCTTTCCCCCCAGGGGCATTCCCACCATGCTGCTGTAACACAGCTTATTGTCTCAGCAGCACAGCAGTTACACATGGCTGAGGGGAACCGCAGGCCACATGAGGCTACTTTGTCTAAAATGGCATCCTGGATTAGTAAATACTCAGGGCAGCCTCAGAAAGGCACGTCAAGGAGCCACGGCCTCCATGAGGAAAAATTGCCAAGCTTCTTCCTCGCTTCCCCACAGGAGTCTTTGAGCTACACAGCCTAAAATAAAGGAACAGGCAGTTTTAAAAATGAGAGGAAGGGAAGATGGAGGCAGCAAAGGCAGGTGCATCGGTGCTGGGATAATGAAAGGGTTCTAGTCAGCTTTGGAGAACCATGGAATCCCTCAGCCGGCTGAGCATTTGTGCTCATTTAAAGTGGCCTCTGGTAAAGTAATTGTTCAGTAGCAGGCAGGGAAATATCTGTTGCATATGTGCTAATCTAATGCACTGTTGCTTTTAGCATGGAATATACCAGTGTGGTGTAGTGGTTAGAGAGTTGGGCCAGGACTTGGGAAAGACCAGGGTTCAAATCCTTGCTTGGTCATGAAGCTCACTGGGTGACCTTGGGGCACAGCCACCACCTCTCAGCCAAACCTACCTCACAGGGTTGTTGTGGGATTAAATGAGGAGGGGAGGAAGAACCACGTATGCCACCTTGAGCTCCTCGCAGGCCTTCTCTGGGGTAGTTCCAATGCTTTTAAATTTTTTACCTAGAGAGAGTCACCTTGGCCCAGAAATACCATTTTCTGAAATGCTGTGCAAGACATTTCTATTTTGGTAAATATTTAGTG